GACAGTAAAGGTGTCAATAAAGTAATAAAATTCAGGCACATGCCTCTATCTTTTTTTTATATATTCTACTAAGCCAGCGCTTATCTACGTCCCCACCTGATGGTAAGTGGTGATGTAGCCTAAGATGGTGAAGCGCACTGACTTAACAAAAGCCTATTCACTCTTGCCTTGAAGACATCCACACTGTAATCGGATGGAAAGACAGATGCTGGCAACTTATTCCACTCCTTTGCTGTACGCATGATGAACGACGTGGCGAACCGTTTGGTTCGAATGCGTGGTAAGTCAACAACGAAAGGGTGGAGACTGGCCGAACGTCTGGTTGTCCGATGGTGGAAGGGAGAGGGTGGAATTAAATTATGTAATTCCTGCGCACACTCGCCGAAATGCATCCTGTAGAAAACCGAAAGGCTGGCTACTTTACTTCTATGTTCGAGGCTGGTAAGATTGGTTATTGATCTATATGCAATCGTTGGATTAGGTGACTAAGGACCGTGCTTTGTGGGAGGCATTTTTTTATAGGAGAGGGGGCAAACAAGCATACGGCTCACCTGACGATATGCGACTACCGCCGCCCATGAACAACTGAAACACCAATGGAATTGCAGGTGCGTTGCCGGCCTTTTAAAAAGGAGGAAGCTCTTTTCTTGAAGGTCCCTAAGTCGTATCGGTCCGGAAAAATCGCCGGTGGTAAATTATTTCACAGAGAGGTCGTACGCGGAAGAAAACTGCTAGTGAAATGTACAGTGGTGGACCACCATATGTTATACGTGGTAGAGCCATGCTGCAGCTATATTAGTAGTATAGCTGTAGCACGAATGGGTCGCCTCGACCAGGGAAGGACCACGCTCTCACAGAAAACCAGCGTAAAATAGCAGCTTAACGCTGCTGTGTTTCGTATGGTGAGTGTAGAGAACCGGAGACCCTTTTTACTGGAAAAGAGGCATTCTATCTTAGTCCTCACGGGTGACAACGCATCTGCATCTTGAGTCTTTATTGAGGATAGATGTAGATGTCTATGGGTCGCAGTGGCCACTTACCATAAGGTGGACTGTGTGCTCGTTTGTCACCCTATCCTATAAAAAAAAAACCAAGCATCCAGATGGTACGGATGGTATCGGGATATAAGAGGATAACAATGATTTATGATGATTTATAATCGGACGAAAACTAAAAAATCATATAGAAATGTTCCAGTTAACGAAAAAATTTTACTCTTTTTATATGTACGAGTATAGGCAGGTTGAAGTTTGATTAGAACGAATAGGGTGATGACCGGGGCAGGACCTCGCTCTCACAGCATAACAGCGTGAAACATCAGCTGATTGCTGCTGTATTTCTTAAGGTGAGTGTAGGGAACCGGAGACACATTCAATTCAGCCCTCGGAGATGACAAATATACATTTTGATTCTTAATCGAAATGCGTTGTGTGAATCGTGTCGTGTACGTGTCGTCAGGCGGAATGTGTGCTCGCTATAAAAACAAAACTACTTTAATTTTCGGAGAACTAAGAAAGATATTTTTCTATGAAGAATAAGGGTGACAAACGAGCACACAGTCCACCTGATGGAAAGTGGATGCTGTGGCCCATAGACATCTACATCTATCTTCAATTAACAATCGAAAAACAAAGGCGTTGTCACTCTTCAGGACTAAGATGAAATGCCTAATTTCTAACAAAAAGGCTTTCCGGTCCTCTGTGCTTACCATACGAAACACAGCAGCATTAAGCTGCTATTTTATGCTGGTATTCTGTGAGAACGTGCTCCAGAATTATAAATAAAAAGCAAAATTATAAATAAAAAATAAATGTACTCACTATTGAAAGCTGTTGAATAAATAATAAAACACGCTATGGAAATTGTTTTTGACGTCATTTCATAACATAGTTACTTCAGTTTATTCGAGTCATAAAAAGGAATGAATTGGCTTAGAGTTATTTTATAAATATTCTTGTTTTTCTTTGGAAACTGAAACAAACAGACAGCGTAATCATAGCTGGTCTAAAGCTGGTCAAAGAATTTTCCTTTTCTATACATTTAAATAAAATTGAAGTGTCTGTTTTTAATGTTAATATAACTGGTTTCTATTACGAACAAGGGGTTGTTTGCATGATATTAAGACATAAATAACATTTTTTTTTTAATTTTTGTTTGTTTGGGCTAAGAAACGTCACGGACAGGTTGAGAGTAATTGCGAGGAGTGATCTAGGTTACATCTTTATCAAAAAACGAAAAGTTGTTAATCAATAATTATTAATGGTCTTTGGTTATCGTAAACATTACATGACTAGTATAAAATAGATGTGCAGGCGTTATTATTATTGTATGATACCAAGCTTTGTAATAATACTTGTTATTTTACTTGTTGCTAATAGAATATACATATTATATCTAATATATAAAAGCCGTGGTAGCTCAGATGGTTAGCGCTCGCTGTAAATTTCACAGTACGCGAGCAACCCGGGTTCGATCCCCGCCGGCACTAATGAAATTGTTAATTGCAATTTTAAGTGATGATTTATCACGAGCGGTGAAGGAAAACATCGTGAGGAAACCTGCATGTCTGAGAAATAAAAAAAATAAATATATTTCGAAGACATGTGAGGTTCGCCAACACGCATTGGGGCGGCGCGGCGGACACTTCCTTGCCCTAAAACCCTCTCAGAAATGAGGGGAGGACTGTGACCAGTAGTGGGACGTATATAGGCTGTAACTTTAACTTTTAACTTTAATATATAAAAAATAATTTTTGATTGTTCGTATTTTATGCGCAGCCATATCGTTCATCAGAATGCACTAAAACTTTGTCAACTTATTGCTTGCACTTGCGCGAAGGTTCTAGGAATAGTACAATTAACTTACAGTAGATGGCGCGCGTATCGTACCGAAAAAAAACCACTTTCATTGAATGCATTATCATTCCTATTAAACAATATAACTGTTCCAAATTTAAAACGATATTTCCACAATTATTCTTCTATGGCAGCAACGCGCTGGGTACCAGCTAGTGTAATAAAAAACATCCTTCATCAAGCTAATGTAATAATAATGACGTTCAGTAAATATTGCAAGAATACTTATTGATGTCTTGTTACATTTACTTGTTACTTGTACTTGCTATACGTACTTGTACCTAGTACTTGGTATTAGTACTTGTTACTTTTACTTGTCACTTGTAATTGTTACTTTACCTAGTACTTGTCAACTTTCTCAGAAATGAGAGGAGCCGTGGCCACAGCAGTGGAACGTAAATAGTCAATTGCTACACTTTTTACTATACCTAGTTTAATGTAGTTACTATAAGTTATATATATGTTGACGTTAGTCTAGTTAGTGGTTGTAAACGCGTCAGTAGATGTCGGGAATTAGGAAGTTGGCGGTGTCTCAACATCGTGTCTCGGAAAGCACGGAAGTCGTTGGTCCTGCGCCTCTTCTATCTCCGGCCGTGTCAGATTACCGTTCGATCGGACTATGAGAGTGTGGAAATAGAGTGCACCTGTGCTTGCACACACACTAAGGCACTATAGGCCGTCTTAGGCGAAAATTCTGTGCGGAGGACATTATTTTTGTAACGTTATATGAAGTTTAATAAATCCCAACTAATGAAAAAATACTGATTGACATGTACAATAGTTGCAAAGTAATTGGTTCTGCTTAGGTTTAGGGAAGTAATTTTAAAACGACGTCTAGTATCACAATAAATAGCATTACCATATTGAAATTTAAACGGTCGGACAAAAGGTAAACATTAATGAAATTTTCATTATTTTGAATCCGTATTTGAAACGTTCTGAAGCGTATAGAGATACCGTTCTAGTCCTCAGGTGTGACAAGACGTCTGTAGCCATATTTATTTTTCTTTTTCGTTTGAAGGCTACCGACTGGTGTCCATAGACACTTTGTCACTTCAATATTAAAACAATTGTATAGTCAAATAACAATGCGTGCACTGCTGTGTTCCGATCTGAAGCGTATAGAGATACCGTTCTAGTCCTCAGGTGTGACAATACGTCTGTAGCCATATTTATTTTTTCCTTTTCGTTTGAAGGCTACCGACTGGTGTCCATAGGCACTTTGTCACTTCAATATTAAAAACAATTGTATAGTCAAATAACAATGCGTGCACTGCTGTGTTCCGATCTGAAGCGTATAGAGAGACCGTTCTAGTCCTCAGGTGTGACTAGACGTGAGTAGCCTTATTTATTTTTCTTTTTCGTTTGAAGCTGGCTACCGATTGGTGTCCATAGACATTGTCACTTCAATATTATAAACAATAGTATAGTCAAATAACAATGCGTGCACTGCTGTGTTCCGATCTGAAGCGTATAGAGATACCGTTCTAGTCCTCAGGTGTGACAATACGTCTGTAGCCATATTTATTTTTTCCTTTTCGTTTGAAGGCTACCGACTGGTGTCCATAGGCACTTTGTCACTTCAATATTAAAAACAATTGTATAGTCAAATAACAATGCGTGCACTGCTGTGTTTCGATCTGAAGCGTATAGAGAGACCGTTCTAGTCCTCAGGTGTGACTAGACGTGAGTAGCCTTATTTATTTTTTCTTATTCTTTTGAAGTTGGCTAGCGATTAGTGTCCATAGATACTTTGTCACTTCAATATTATAAAAAGTTGTATAGTCAAATAGAAATGCGTGCACTGCTGTGTTCCGATCTGAAGCGTATAGAGAGACCGTTCTAGTCCTCAGGTGTGACAAGGCGTGACTAGCCTTATTTCTTTTTTCTTTTTCCTTTGAAGTTGGCTAGCGATTGGTGTCTATAGACACTTTGTCACTTCAATGTTATAAAAAAATTGTATAGTATAGAGCCAGTATATTAAAGCATTCCATGTTAGTCCTCGGAGAACGCTTCTGTAACCTTCTCTATGTGAAGTTGGTAACACGGTGTCCATTGGCTGCAGTAAACACTTACCATCTAAAGAACTCTAAGTCTCTTTATCATTAAAATGATTTCGATTACTGAAATTCTCTCTGTTTTCAGGTCGTCCGTGGAGTGCACATAGAAGCCGCTCATCTAGTTAAGAAGAGAAGTATAGATCAGCCCCTTAGGATAAGCATATTCTATGACCACTCTGTATATAGGTAAGACGTTTGGTTTATTCGCTTGAAACGGTTTGATGTTCTACATGATATCTAGAAGACGATTTCAATCACGAACTACCGAATGGTTTGGCTAGTTGTCAGTGCAGTTTGTACGAGATAAAAGATGCTCATTTCTCTCATCTCTCGACCCATAGACATATATCAATATATGGCTATGGGTATATAACACACACACACACACACACACACACACACGAATACTCACGCCTGTCACCGAGAGGGGTAGGCAGAGGCTACGGACTTCCATTTGGCGCGATCCTGACACACCTCTCTCGCCTCTTTTACATCCATATATTTACGCATACACGCTCGTCGGTTAAGGGTACTCCTAATCTGGCCCATTTTCAATGTATCGCCGATTTGATCGATAAACCTTCGTCTAGGGCGTCCCTTCCCGACCCTGCCGTTCACTTCTGCATTTTTTTGTACAACTGAGGTGAAAACGTTCACCTTTTTTATATTCTACTAAGTCAGCGCTTTTCTACGACCCTACCTGATGGTAAGTGGTTATGTAGCCTAAGATTGTGAAGCGCACTGACTTAACAAAAGCCTATTCACTCGTGCCTTGAAGACACCTAATTGTAAGAGTACCATCAAACAAAGGAGGCTACATATGAGTTGTCATCTCCAAGGACTAAGTGAAGTTAAGTTTTGAATAAGGGTGACAAACGACCTGATGGTAAGTGGATGCTGTATCTATAGACCTATAGACGAAGCACCTGCATCTATCCTCGTTTAAGAGTCAAAATGCAGATACGTTATCACCACTAAGGACTTCAATGGAATGCCTCGATACCTGTATAAAGGGTATCCGGTTGTTTACACTCACTATACGAAACACAGCAGCATTAAACTGCTAATATACGCTGGTGTTCTGTGAAGGTGTGGTTCCTCTCCGGTGGAGTCGACTCTTTCGTGCTGCCACCATAATATGACTGCAGCATGGCTAATAGGACGTAAAGACCTATAGATTTCTTAGGCTGTCGCTTTACTTTCTTTAAATCGCACACTTTGAATCCAAAGCGAGATAGAGGTTGAGCTTTTCTGTCGACTTGCCATGGTAACACTACACGCTCTTATTAATTCGGTATGATATTCTTAAGCCGCACCGATACGTGAATAAAAGCACATTAATATTTTATACAAAAAAAATATCTAATATTTTCTTTTTTTTTATTACAGATTAGAACCTGAGAAATTCGATATGATAAATGTGAGTATTCATTTTATTCTATTTAAAATCTTTATTGCACTTAAGATGTACAATTGGCGGACTTAATGCCTTTAGGCATTCTCTACCAGTCAACCACAAGCTAAGCAGAGAAACTTAAGTAGGTGCCATAAAAACTTGAGAATGTATACGTGAATATAAATATAAACATATACATACTGTACTTGTAAATACAAAAATAAATAAATAAATAAATAAATAAATAAATACATGATATATAAACATACATAATTTTAATCAATACATAATGTTTTTTTTTTATAGGATAAGGGTGACAAACGAGCACACAGTCCACCTGATGGTAAGTTGGTAAGTGGTTGCTGCGGCCCATAGACATCTACATCTATCCTCGTTTGCGGATCAAAATGCAGATGCGTTGCCACCCGTGAAGACTAAGATGGAATGCCTCATTTCCAGTAAAAAGGGCCTCCGGCCACCTGCACTCACCAAGCGAAACGCAGAGGTAAACCTCTACTTCACGCTGGTATTCTGTGAGGTCGTGGTACCACCCCGGTTCGAGCCGGCCCATCCGTGCGACAGCAAAAGCTGGTGCGTGGCTCTACCACTGTTAAAAATACATACATAATTAATAATACATACATTTTAAGCATACTTACATACAAACATATTATACAAAAACGACTTAAGTAATTTATAATACACTTATACAGGAACATTTAAATAAGAGGTCAGTTGCTGAAAGGATTAGAGTATTATAGACTTTTTTGTAATTTTGTTCTCACTATTCGTCGGTAGCTAGATATTCGTCGCTAATATTATTTATATATTTTTTTTTATATTGACGGCTCTGTAGCGAAATGGTTTAGCTTGAGTTACTGCGTCTAGAACCGCGGTCTCGAATTACGCACAGAATAAACATTTGTATGGCCTGCAAATAATTGTTCCTGGTCTGGATGTTTGCCTTGTGCAATTTATGTTTGTAAACTGCCTCCACGCACGATACAGGAGAAAATCCTAGTGTGGGGGTAACGCTTTAAAAAAACATATTAATCTCATATAATATGTATAAAATATCATGATAGTGTACTATTTGTAGCATTGAATAAGTTTCCTTTCTTTTTTCTTTCTTGTTTGTATGTTATAAGGCATGGTACACACATATTTTTACTGAACAACATATCGATCTATATTTGTTACTTCATTATTTGCATTAATATAAGTATGCCATAATTGCCACGTTAGACACGCAGGTTGCGGCAACCGCAGGTTTTTTTAATAATTTAGAGTTGTTATCAGGAAGATGTTGCTGCCCATCTCCTATTTCAGTTTCCCTGTGTCGCCTCTTACGACACCCGCGGGATGATATTGTTACGAGCTTGGGGTTCGAGACAATTAGAAACTGCCGATTGAATTACCAAAATTGACACTTTAATTACACAACACTAATTACAATCTAAAATCACACTGATAATAAAACACAGTTCGCCGTTATTTCGCTTCGAAGTATTCTCTTGTATCGCCAATTCAATACTGCCTCGGTCATGGTCTATACCGGCCTTATATAGGGCCTCAGATAGTTTCCAGAATCTTCTACTGTAGCGACATCTAGAATGTTCGAGTACATATCGGTCCCGAAATTTCTGGAAGGATCTCGACTCTCCTAGTTCTGCTACTCGACACTAGAGGGCGCTAGTGTAACTAGTGTTGCCATGTACAAGACATTAATAGTGGCGCGCAATACTTTCATTTACTCGACACTAGAGGGCACAAGTGTAACTAGTGTTGCCATGTACTAGACATTAATAATGGCGCGCAACAATATGTAGCGAAGGAATATCTCGTTAACAGTAAAAAGGGTATCTGGCTACGAAACCAACGGGACATCTTTCCGCTTTTACGCCAAAATCCACCGCAAACTAAACTATGTGAAAACTAGGCTCAGTGAACTAAGCTGAGTTAACCTGGAAAATCATTGCACGTCCACAGAAAAATAAGCTAAAACTACTTTAGTGATGGCCAGTTTGTGCTGGTGTGTTGAGTTAATCGGACGTGATGGAAGAACAAGAGAAGAATTATGACGACAGTTCAGGATGTGAGGATTACATTCGTCATAGGGAAAGAATTGATTATTGCTCATTTCATAAAGAAAAAGAGCAAACACAGATACTGGATAAGCAAGCACATTCAATGTTTTTTATAGGATAGGTGACAAACGAACACACAGTCCACCTGATGGTAAGTGGTTGCTGTCACCCATAGAGATCTACATCTATCCTCGTTTGCGAATCAAAATGCAGATGCTTTGTCACCCGTGAGGACTAAGATGGAATGCCTCTTTTACAGTAAAAAGGGTCTCCGGTTCTCTACACTCACCATACGAAACACATCAGCATTAAGCTGCTATTTTACGCTGGTATTCTGTGAGAGCGTGGTCCTTCCCCGGTCGAGCTGACTGACCCATTCGTGCTACAACTATACTACTAAAATAGCTGCAGCATGGCATGCTTTTTAACGGTGGTAGAGCCACGCAACAGTTCTTGATGTTGCACGTATGGGCCGGCTCGAGCCGGGTTGGTACCACGACCTCACAGAATACCGGCGTGAAGTAGAAGCTCTGCTTCTGCCTTCGTCTGGTGAGTGCAGGTGGCCGGAGGCCCAAAACCCCCCCCCCCATCAACATGGTAGCGGAATTACCTATCCTTTGGCTATGCGTAGACAGCGACGACCATCCGCGCGTCTACGGGTGCCTCTATAGGTCCCATAGCGGTAATGCCGAAACAGACCGACTCATCGACCACGTCCAAATGGCTACAGATTCCTTGCTACAACTTGCTACAACAACCGATCATGCGGGGAGATCTGTTTATGACTTTGCCTTGGCATATGGTCTGACACAACTGGTTATTTCGCCTACGCGGATTCCAGATGTGGAGGATCATACACCTTCCCTGTTGGACCTTCTGCTGACCTCTCATCCGGACGGATATCAGGTTTCCGTCGATCGTCGATCGTCGATCTCGGCTCTTCGGACCATTGTCTGATCCGGAGTATGGTGCCACTCACGCTCCCTTCGCGGTTGCGTTCTGCAGGTTGCCGCCGTGTTTGGCATTACAGGTCGGCGGATTGGGACGGAATGCGGTCTTTCTTTGCATCCTACCCATGGGGGCGGGTTTGCTTCTCGCCGGATGATCCCAGCGCTGTTGCTGACTCTGTCACTGATGTGGTGCTACAGGGAATGGAACTATTTATTCTATCATCTGTGGTACCCATTGGAGGCAGATCTCAGCCTTGGTTTGGTCGCTCCTGTAAGACTGCATTACGCAGTAAGCAGGAGTGTTATCAAGCCTGGGCTGCGGCTTCGGCGACTCGGAATGTAAACACCAGCACACTTAAAAAGAAGTATAACTTCGCCTCCAGGTCCTTCAAAAGAGTTATTGCCAAGGCAAAGTCAGAGCACATAGGCAGAATTTGCGAGAAACAAGTTCGCCTTCCTTCGGGAACCCGTGCATTCTGGTCTCTCGCCAAGGCTGTCCAAGGGAATTTCTGTAAGCCATCACTACCATCTGCACAGGGAGGATGACTCACTGGCCCAAGACGCAAAAGACAAAGCCGACCTTTTAGGCTCCCTTTTTGCGTCCAACTCAATTCTTGATGACGGGGGGAAAACACCGCCGACCTTCCCGCGGTGTGAGTGCTCCATGCCTGATGTGCGGTTCTCACAGCGCTCGGTTCGCAAAGCACTGCTGTCCCTGGACATCCAGAAGTCGAGTGGGCCTGACGGAATCCCGCCAATTATGCTGAGGACGTGTGCTCCGGAGTTGGCACCGGTCCTAACGCGTCTTTTCCGGTACTCCTACTCCCAAGGCGTAGTCCCGAATTCATGGAAGACAGCTTTTGTCCACCCGATCCCTAAAAAAGGCGAACGCTCAGACCCATCCAACTATAGGCCTATCGCGATCACCTCCTTGTTCTACAAAATAATGGAATCCATTATTAACTGTCAGCTCATCCGGTACCTTGAGGATCACCAGCTGATTAGTGACCGCCAATACGGTTTTCGTCGGGGTCGATCAGCTGGTGATCTTCTGGTCTACCTGACCCATAGATGGGCGGAGGCAGTAGAGTCTAAGGGGGAGCCATTGGCCGGTAGTCTGGACATTGCGAAGGCCTTCGATCGGGTTTGGCACAAAGCGCTTCTTTCGAAGCTCCCTTCCTATGGGCTTCCCGAGAAATTGTGCAATTGGATCACCAGCTTCCTTGCAGATCGGAGCATCAAGGTCGTTGTAGACGGTGCATGCTCTGACTACAAGCCTATTAACGCTGGTGTTTCACAAGGCTGTGTGCTATCACCAACGCTGTTTCTTCTGCATATTAATGATATGTTGCTGACTGGTAACATTCATTGCTATGCGGATGACAGCACTGGTGATGCTCTATACACCGGCCGTGCCAATATTTCTTGGGAAAACGTCGCCGAGTACTGGAACAAACTTGTGTCTGAAGTCGAGTCTTTGCTGAACAAAGTCTCGGATTTGGGGCGACTAAATCTAGTCCAGTTTAATCCTCAGAAGACACAAGTTTGCGCTTTTACCGCTAAAAAGAACCTCTTTGTCGTATCTCCTCAGTTTCAAGGCACTCCCCTTCTTGCCTCAGCCAGTATCGGTATCCTCGGAGTCGACATATCGAGTGACGTACAGTTTCGTGGTCACTTGGAAGAGAAGACCAAATTGGCCTCTAAAAAGCTTGGCGTCCTCAGCAGAGCGGGACAGTATTTCATGCCGGCACACCGCCTGCAACTTTACAAGGCGCAGGTTCGGCCTCACATGGAATACTGTTCCCATCTCTTGGCAGGGGCTCCCCAGTGCCAGCTCCTTCCACTTGACCACATCCAACGCAGAGCGGCTCGAATCGTCGACGACCGAGCCCTTTCCGATCGGCTCGATTCTTTGGCACTGCGAAGAGATGTTGCATCCCTTTGCATTTTCTTTCGCATCTACCATGGGGAGTACTCTGAGGAATTGTTCGGATTAATCCCAGCCGACAAATTTCACGAACGCACATCGCGGCAAAACTCCCGATACCATCCACACCATCTGGATGATTGGCGGTCCACCACTGTGCGATTTCGAAGATGTTTTCTTCCTCGCACGACCTCCTTGTGGAATCGATTACCATCAGCGATTTTTCCGGACCGATACGACTTAGGGACCTTCAAGAAAAGAGCGTACTCCTTTTTAAAATGCCGGCAACGCATCTGCAATTCCCTCCCTGGTGTTGCAGTTGTTCATGGGCGGCGGTAGTCACTTACCATCAGGTGAGCCGCATGCTCGTTTGCCCCCTCTCCTATAAAAGAAAAACCACTTACGATCAGGTGGACTGTGTGCTCGTTTGTCACCATATTTTATAAAAAAAGATTAAGAATTAGTAATTTAAATTAAAAAAAGAATTATATAACCCCCGAAACAAAAAGAGCTGGTGAACTTCAAACGGCTGAACAGATTTTCTTGAAACATAGTTAAGAACACTCTCGATTAAGACACCTTTCAAACGAATGAAACAGTTAAAATCAGTTCATCCGTTCAGGAGCATGACATGAGCACAGACAGACACAGTATACACACTACAAAATTATAACACCCGTCTGTTTACGTCGGAGTTTAAAAATGTAAATACTTTGTCACCCCTGAGTTCTAACAACGTATCTACATTTTTAACCGGTAAAAAGGGTCTCCGATTCTCGTTATTCACGAAACATTGAAAGAAGATTGTTGCTTCTGTTACAGAATACAATATTACCGGAGGCTGTGAAGTTTTGGGAGCAAGCTCTAAAAGTCCGGAAGACTGGGGGCCCGATCAAACTTAACAGGTGAGGGTATACATAAAATACTTTAGATTTAGAGGATATCCGGTCTGCAAGTAATTTATCGAGTAGATTTTGAATATATTTTCGTTGCGCTTTGCCTGAACGACCAAGTTACACAGCCGACAAAGACAAATGTTTATGTGTCTCGAACTGATTATACCTAAGAAAATTGATAAAATCGTTATCTTGTACGCCTATGTTTTTAGCCGACTTTAAAAAAAGAGGAGATTATCAATTCGAGTGTATTTTTTTATGTGTGTTACATCAGAACTTTTTTCTAGGTGAACCGATTTTGATGATCCTTTTTCGTACTTGAAAGCTGGTGCTTCATATGTGGTACCAAATAAATTTGATCAAGATCTGACCAGCAGTTTTTGAGTTATCCTTAATGATGCGTATTTAAATTACTTTGATTACATTGATGATGTTCTCATTTTATTTATATTGAAATTGGTTGTACAATATTTTTAATTTTACCACTTGTTTGTATGTATGTTACTGTTTTTATAGATTAGGTTTATACTTCAGGGCTAGTCCCATATAAAAATATAGAAAAAATTGCTCAAAAATTGCAGGGTGGTTTTATTTTGAGTGGCCAAATAGAGGATAAAAATTATGGGTTTCAAAAATTTTACTTACTATTGCTATGCCCATAAACGCAACAATTATTCTTTAATTTAAAGTGATAAAGTACTTATGTGGCTACACTTGAACGGTCAACGTGATTTCAATAAGGGTTGATAATAATCTACTCACCAGATGTCGCTAGTTGTGAGTGAGGAGAAGTTTTTTGTTAAACAGTGTCAGTTAATTGAGAAGTTAGTTTTAAATAAACCTAGCAAGCTAACAGCATAGCAAAGTGGCGAAGCAATCAGCTTTGAAGCGGTTTCTAACGGTTGCCGTTGAGCAATCAGTTTCAAAATAGGAGGTTCAGATGCCTGGGTGATCAGTAATCGATTGCTGAAAACAGAATTTGAAAATTCGAAACCGTTCTCGAGATAATCGTGGGACAGACGGACAGACGGACAGACATCGTGAAATCAATAAGTGACTTCGCATGCTTCGCCACTTAATAATAGTCTATCATTATCTAGAGTATTATATTAATACACAACACAATGCGTCGGTTGTTATATTTTTGATTTTTGCACTTTATAACTTCTTTTAATATCTTCCTCAATTAAGATGATGCAAATTATGCAATTAAAACAACTATCGAAGAAATTTAAAAGAAGAAGGAAGCCTAATGGGATATTATAGACCCCATTTAAGCAAATACAAAAAGTCTTATAAGAAGTTACACGAATTTTCGAAAGAATTTTCTTTAATTAAGAAGTTACAAGAATTTCGTTGCACGAATGGGTCGGCCCGAGTGGGGAAGGATTACGCTCTCACAGAATACCAGCGTAAAATAGCAACTTAACACTGCTGTGTTTCGTATGGTGAGTGTAGAGAACCGGAGACCCTTTTTACTGGAAAAGAGGCATTTCATCTTAGTCCTCACGGCTGACAACGCATTTTTACATTTTGATTCGCAAATGAGGATACATGTAGATGTCTATGGGCCACAGCAACCACTTACCATCAGGTGGACTGTGTACTCGCTTGTCACCCTTATTCTATAAAAAAAAATGTTGCACAGAGTAGAGATTGTCGCTAAAGAATTGCAAAATGTTGCCACCAAATAATTACTGACAGGTTGAAGGAATGAGCTGTGATTTTTTTGATTTAAATAGTTTGTAGAGTAACATCAAGGCAGAAGAAGCTTTTATTTTATATCTTGTACATTAGATATCTGTGTCTATATATTAATGTGCAGTACAGTGTGAAATACAGCTTCATAATATATAAACTAAAAAAACTATCAAATTACTGTTGAATTTAGATCACTGTATGACTACTAGTTTGAATAAACACATCCGGAAGAGTTTTGCAAGTGAGGGTCAGTCTATTTTAGCGAAAGGTCTATCTAGACAGCATCAATAACGCGACAGCATCGGCAACGCACCTGCGATTTCTCTAGTTTTGCAAACACAGGTGACCAAGACCACTTACCCTATGGTAAGCCGTATGTTCGTTTGCGCCTTGCCTCCTTTTTTATTAAAAAAAAAGTTCAATTTTAAAATACAAAAAACAGATTGCGCTTCCGAAATAAACCCATTCACGTGTGCGGAGAGCTATTGACATGTTTATTTATATTAAAACAGTAACGCCTCCAGACTCCATCCATTCGACTGGTTACTAATTGATATGCTTTACGATGTTCAAGGAATTTTCCAACCTTGTTTGTCTAACCGTTTTGTTTTCATTGTAGCTCGCAAGCTTTAGATGAGAAGGATTTGAACGCATGGCTTGTTCTATACTTCATGATGTGTGAAAATCTTCTTCAGTTTTTTTTTGTTACATTATATGCTAATGAGGGCTAATAATTTTCTGCTCACCAGATGTCGCTAGTTGACACTGAGGTAAAGTTTTTTGTTACACAATGTAATTTAATTGAGAAGTTGTTCTATAACAAAGGTTTATCAGTTTCTAGAGTATTATATTTAATTTTTTTTTATAGGATAGCATGATAAACGAGCTCACAGTTCACCTGATGGTAAGTGGTTGCTGTGGCCCATAGACGTCCACATCTATCCTCAATAAATAATCAAAATGCTATTGCGTTATCACCTCTGAGGACTAAGATGGAATGTTTCTTTTCCATTAAAAAGGGTCTCCGGTTCTACACTCACAATACAAAACACTGCAGTGTTAAGTTGCTATTTCACGCTGGTAGTCTGTGAGAGCGTGGTCCTTCCCCGGTCGAGCCGACCCATTCGTGCTACAACTATACTACTAATATAGCTGCAGCATGGCTCTACCACGTATACGTGATTATATCTAGGGTGAAAAGACAGATGCCGGCAAATTATTCAATTCCGTTTTGTCTCCGGAATTACAGCTGGCGTGAAGCTTCAGTGGGCTCCCATATATCTAAACTAGTTAGCAAACTATGTTCTCTAGTATGTGCTGTAGAAATATTAGAAGCCTTACATGTATTGAAACAGCTAGATTAGTTTATTTTAGTTATTTCCGTAGCATAATGTCGTGTGTAATCTTGCTATGGGGTAATGCGACTGACATTGAAACTATCTTTGCTTTGCAAAAGAGACACATAAGAGCAAGTTATTGCCAGAGTACGAAGTAGACTTACAGAAAAAATTAGAGGAATAAATTAATTAACTTTGGCCTCTCGGTATTTTTACAAGAATTCAATCTTTGTACACAAAAACAATAATGATTTTATTAAAAATAGTGATGTATATTCTGTATATACTAAGAAACAAGCACAAGTTAGTTATACGAGTTACTCAACTCCAAATACTCAGTAATTCCTTCATGGGGCAATGTATACGCTTTTTTAACAGTCTTAGAAAACATTTTTTTTATAGGATAAGGGTGACAAACGAGCACACAGTCCACGTGATGGTAAGTGGTTGCTGCGGCCCATAGACATATACATCTATCGTCTATTACAAATCAAAATGTAGATGCGTTGTCACCCGTGAGGACTAAGATGGAATGCCTCATTTCCAGTAAAAAGGGCAACATGCAGGATTTAAATATATCTATCTACCAAAATGTTTAAAATGTGTACTAAGCAAAAATTGTTAATGGTTATTACTATACTTGCGTACCTTAGTGAAAGGAATTGGGGGAAAGTTGCAATCACTGTGCGAAACTTGCCTAAAAAGTGCAGGACAAAGCTGTAAAATATAGAATAGCGAATAATTTTATCTGAAATAAGATTTTACTCTCATATTTTAAACGGGTTTTAACCGTATTCAAAAACGAAGGAAAATATGACATTATTCAACGCGTACTTCTGTTATGCTGAACCGATTGTGATGGAACTTTATGAACAGATAGAAATCAATGCTAGAAGCACTAGAAGTGAGCTAGGTTATATATATACGTTTCGTTTTACAAAAAAAAAAAGATTTTTTTTTGTAAAACGAAAAACTTTTCGATTTTCGGAGGGGGGGGGGGAACATTTTTAATTTAACTTATTATTTTTCATTTGATTTTTGTTCTACATTCCAATAGGCGAAACCAAAAAGTGCGTACATTTCTAGATATTTTAAAGCGATGGAGCCATATGGTAGATATTATGATTTTAGTACGAATGGGTCGACTCGACCGGAGAAGAACCACGCTTTCACAGAATACCAGCGTGAGGTAACAAATTAATGCTACTGTGTTTCGTATTTTGTGTGTAAAGAACCGGAAACACTTTTTACTGGAAAAGAGGCATTCCGTCTTAGTCCTCGGGGCGTGACAACACATATTCATTTGTAGATGTCTATGGGCTTGAGCATCCATTTACCATTTAGGTGGACTGTGTGCATAAAAAGGTCTAGAAAAGAGATGTTAGATGAACCCTTGACCTTATAGATTGCAGACTACTAGATATCTAGTTACTAGAAAGCAGGCATCTGCATTTTGATTCTTAATCGAGGATGAATATAGATGTCTATAGGCCACATCATCCACTTACCATCTGTCATGTGTCTGTATGGTGGACTGTGTGCTCATTTGTCACCTTTATTCTATATAAAAAAAAAACTTCTTTGAATAAAACTACCTTTACGGATTCTATCGCGTTTAAATAACTTATATTTATTAATTCACGACGAAATAAGTTAATTAAAAGCGATAGAATCCGTGAAAGTAGTTTTAGTCAAAGTGTTCGAGTAAATATAAGAAATCATTAAAGAAAAAAACTACAAAAACTACTTTTTCATATCTATACAAATAAATAAAATTGAAGTGTCTGTTTGTAATGTCAAAAGAACAGTTTTTTACTAAATGCATATGAAAGTAAATACGGTACTTATAACTAAAATACAATTTTTAAAATTTTTGTCTGTCTGTCTGCCGATTTTGACGGGATTTTCACTGGGATAGCTGATTTCATAAGGAGTAACTTAGGATACTTTTATTTTAGAAAAATAATTAGG